TTTCCTTTGAAGCTTTGCTGGTAAATGGTTTGTAGTCTTTCCATTTGCATTATTGAAATAATTGTGTACATTGTTTTCCTGACTTCATTTTGCATCAGTTCATCTGAGTTTTCCTCTGCTTCTCTGTATTCATTGTAGGCAACATTTTTGACATCAGAAATATCCTATTGCAGTAATGTCAAACTCAAATAGAAATGAATTCCTGCAGGATGCATATTAACTTAGAAAACCACAAATTAACATTATGTACGTTATATTGTATTTATTTTGTTAAATTTTCCCAATTACATTTTTTTTTTTGGCGAGGCAATTGGGGTTAAGTGACTTGCTCAGGGTCATACAGCTAATAATTGTCACGTGTCTGGTCTGAGACCCTATTTGAACTCAGGTCCTCCTGATTTCAGGGCTGGTGCTCTATCCACTGCACCACCTAGCTGCTGCATCCCAAATACATTTTAATCTGGTTCTGGTCACACTCTGACTGCAGAGGGGCTCTATTGCATCGATGCACCACCATTTATTTAGCCATTCCCAAATCAAAGGGCATTTGCTTTGCTACCATTAAAAAGGCTGGAGTGTATATGGGGCCTTTCTTCTCGTCATTGACATTCCTGAGCCACCAGTGGTTAGAAAACTTTCCCAGGGTCACCAGCCAGGACTTGAACCTTGGTCATTGTCACCTGGCCTCTCTCGACCTCTGCCTTGACAGCTGTGAAGAAAGTGGATTATAAAAGGAAAAGGTTAGGAGCAGGGAGATTATTTGGAGGCTATTGTAGCCATCCATGCACCAGAGGATGACATGAACCTGAACCATGGCTGTGAGAAGAGAGAGGGAATAAAGGCAAGAAATGTGGCAGAGGGAGAATCTACGAGACTTGGATGTGATGAGAGAGCGTAAGGACGCTAGGATAGTTCTGATCTTACAAATGAGGGCTCCCTTCCATTCTGATGTTCTAGGTGCTATGTTCCCAGAATCCTCCCAGCTCTAACATTCCATGTCATCTGTCTACAATCAGACTATCGACTGGTTAGAGCAAAAGTTCTTTATCTTTTGTGGGTTATGGATGTGGAGCTAGAGGATGGGGAGTATATAGGTAAGGGGATTGACAAGCTAGCGATTTCCCAAAAGGGGCAACTAGCATTCGGCATTCCCAGTTCTAAAGCCTCTCCCAGCCCTGACATTCCATGTTCCAAGGCCCCTTTTAGCCCTGACCTTCCCTGTTCTAAGGTCCCTCTCAGCCCTCACATTCCCTGTTCCAAGACCCCACCCAGCCCTGACATTCTATGTTCTAAAGTCCCTC